AGTCGTGCATGGCTTTACTCAGGACTTGGGTGGCGGAGGCAGGTAGTGTATACACCCAGTTCCAGGACAGCCAGGGCTATGTAGAGTCTTTGTCTCAAACAAGCAATTTGCGCTTGTATACCATGTGTGTTGTGTTGAGTAGTTGTAAATGTGGGCACAGACTTTACAGTGAGCAGGTGGAGGTCAGAGGACAACATCAGGTGATGGTCAACTTCTGCCTTCAGACAGTCTTTTTTTCAAAAGAAAACAAAAACTTCTTGCCAGGCAGCGGTGGCGCACACCTTTAGCCCCAGCACTTGGGAGGCAGAGGCTGGTGGATTTCTGTGAGTTCAAGGCCAGCCTGGTCTACAGAGCAAGTTCCAGGACAGCCAGCGCTACACAGAGAAACCCTGTCTCCAAAACAAAACAACAAAGCAAACCATCTTTACTTGAGACAGGGTGTCCTTTTCTGCTGTGTACACTAGATCAGTACACCCCATTAGCTTCTGGGATTATCTTGTCTCTACCTCCCACCTGCCCATGGCATGCTGGGATTACAAATGCTCCTGCTTACACATCCAGGACCCGCCCCTCCACCCCCCACCCCCCACCACAAGATTTCTCTGTGTAGCCCTGGCTGTCCTGGAACTCACAGAGATCTGCCTGCCTCTGCCTCCTGAGTGCTGGGATTAAAGGTGTGCGCCACCACCTGGCTACACATCTGGCCTTTATGTGGGCTCTGGGTATCTGAACTCAAGCCGTGCTCACGACGAGCACTTTAACCCACTGGCCCATCTCTCCCGCCCAGCAACAGCTTTAATCTTTTTCTTTGAGTCAGTCAGCTATGCCCAATATGACAGAAGTCACTCAGAAAGACTGAAGAGAGCTGGTGAAGGGCCAGACAGATGGCTCAATGGTAAATGCTCTGATGCTCAAACCTCAAGACCTGAGTTCAATCTCAGAACCCGCAGTGGAAGGAGAACTGACTCCTGCAAGTTGTTGTCTGACTTCCTGATGGTGCGCGCACACAAAACAACAACAACAAAGGGCTGGTAAACTTAACTAGGAGGTCACTGGTGATGTTGGCTAGTGTGGTTTTGCTGAGATAGAGGGGAAATGAGAGAGACATCACCGAGAAGCACACAGTAAGCCACAGAAACAGTTGGTATCAACCATCGAGGCACTTTTCAACCTTTCTTAGGCAAATGCTTTGAGAGCTGTAAAAAGTCAGAAGGCAGGTCTGGCAGTCTGTGCCTATGGCCGTGGCTACTTGGTAAGGGCGCTACTTAATTCTAGGAGTTTAAGGTCAGTCTGGGGAGCACAGAAAAGACCTTGCTGCAAGAAAAAAGCCACTGAAACAAAATTATGCATGCACTCATGAATGTATGTAAATGTGGCTTATTAGCACCCCACCTCTGGGACTTGCAGGCAGTTAATGCCTGCTGGGGAAAGAGAGACATTTTCTTCATGGTTAGTCACTGGTAAGGTGCCTATAAGCAACCATAATTAAGTTCATTGGGGTCTTTTCCCCAAAATAAAACCAAACCTGAAGTAGAATAGGGACTAGTGACATGAGAGTTATGAAGTGTGTGTGACTAAGATCAAAGACATTATATAGATTAAGGAAATATCAAACAAAATCCATTATATATAATATATGCTAACAAAAACTTTAAAGGAAACATATGCACAAATAAAGTTATAACATATGTTAAGGACGTGCATTAATTCATCTAAGTCCCCCATCCCCAAAATGTATATGTTAGAATAGAACCAAACCCAATAGTGTAATAAATACACCGTAAGTAATCATTGCTTATACCTTGTACCCCAGCCTAAAACAATACACATTTTCTGCTTTTTCATAGTGGACTTTTTGTGTTACAGGTGTTACACTCAAGTTATACTATCCATTACAAATGACATGTCTTAAGTAATACACTCTTAGGGAGTTCTTGGTGCACAAGAGAAATTCTGGCCAGTTCCTTAGTACCTCACCCAGGTAAACATTAGTTTCTAAGGTGCTCAAGCACATCAAAAATGCTTCCCCCAGCAGCCAGGACAGTGGGTTGTGTGTCCACATGTGCACTAGGAGGCCAGAGGTTGCTGTAAGGTGTCTCTCTCAGCTACTCTTTACCTTGTATTTTGAGGTAGTGTGGTGTCTGGCACTCACTGAATCTGTAGCTTACAGAATTGGCTGGAGCAGCTACCAGAGAGCCCCAGGGACCTGCCCGCCCCTACCCCATCTTCAGCGCTAGATTTTAAGTACAGGGCACCCCCGCAGCTCTTTTTGTGGGTGCCAGGACCTCCATCCTCATGCTTGTTTGGCAAGTGCTTTACTGACTAAAGTAAAGCACTTTACTATCTTGGCTACAACTGTTTTTAAGAAGCTTATTCTGAATCAGATTTAGAACAGAGAAGGACTGTGTTTTCTGTCTAACCATGGTTTATTTTTTAAAATTGTATGTTCATTAGTGTTTGGCTTGCATGGATGTATGTATACTATGTGCATGCCTGGTGGCCAGGGAGGCCAGAAGAAGGCATCAGATCCCCTGGAAGTGGAGTCACAGATGGTTGTGAGAATGCTCTACAAGATTAAGTACTCTTCATCCCTGGGCCGTCTCTCCAGTCCCCTGCTCAGGCTCTAAAGACCCTCCCTAATTTGGAGCTTTGGTAGAGTCAAGATAGTGCCAAGTGTGGCGGCACAGCCTGTAATCTCAGCTCTTGGAAGGTGGGGCAGGAGGATGATCAGGAGTTCAAGACAAACCATGGCTATATATCAAGTTCCAGGCCAGCTCGGGCTACAAACAAACAAATATGGTACCATGACACCATTAACTGGTTGTAAACAGTTATCCTTAAAAACACTAGCATACAGGGTGGGGATCTAGTTCAGCTGGTAGAGTACTTGTTAGCATAGTACAAATTCCTTGCACTGTGTGAAATTGAATGTGGTGGTGTATGCCCATAATCTCAGCACTTGGGAACAGGAGGAAGGGGAAGTCTGTCACCCTAGGCTACATAGCAAGTTTGAAGACAGTCTGGGCTATGCGAAACTCTGCCCCCCCTCAAAATGCTAATATTTTCTCTGAAAACCTTTTTTTCCTTTTTTTTTTTTTTTTTGTTTTTTTTTGAGACAGGATTTCTCTGTGTAGCCCTGGCTGTCCTGGAACTCACTCTATAGATCTGGCTGGCCTTAAACTCAGAGATCTGCCTGTCTGTGCCTCCCAGGAGCTGGGTTTAAAGGTGTGCGCCACCACTGCCTGGCTGGAAACCTATTAAGACTTTTAAATATTCTTTGATGCTATTCTGACAAAAAGTGGATATTTAAGAAAAGAAAAAATGGACATGAAATTTTATTTCTAGCCCTGAAAGAACAAATTATTCAGTCATGAGATACAGCAGTTAATAGCAAAATACAGTTAATTATGTGGGATTAAATTAAAAATAGAAGGCAATATAAAATTTGAAGATAAAACAGAAATAGGTTACTTTTTAAAATCCAACTCAATTTCTACCTACCATAACAAGACAACAAAAACATAGAAAAAGTGATTATTTTCCAAGCAAAAATTTGGAATTTCAACCAATTTTTTTTTTTTTTTTTTTTTTTTTGGATGCAGAATGAACATGTTTGACAAGGTTCTGTGTCTTTTCTTCTGCTCTTTGGGTAACACAGAGCAGGGAAGGAGAAAGACTTGAGCTCTTTCAAGGGCAAGCCAGTGCTTGATTCTGCCCCTAACTCCAGCATCTTTGCCAGAGTGGTCGCCGAATGGACTGACAAGGGGGTAAGCAAGTGTGGAGTTCCTTACAAAGGCTACAGAAGACCACTGGAATATCTATCACAGGCACAGGGGTGGCACCGAAGACCCATCTGTTTTGTATAGTGCTATGAGATTCTGTTAGAAAAACCAAATACAAGTGTTTAACTGGATTTTAGCAATAACTAAATTTTTTTATATTTGAAATTATGCAATAATGTCAAATAGTGGCCTAGATTCTGTTTTTACTGGAGCTAGGGAATCAAGCCTGGAGCTTTGTGCATGGTAGGCAAGTAAGCTACCACTGAGCTATACCTCCAGTCCCATTAACTACAGTCTGAAATTACATTAGAAACAGTTTAAGTGTAGGACATGGTGGTGCACGCCTTTCATCCCACTACTTGGAAGGCAGAGGCAGGTGGATCTCTGTGAGTTTGAGACCAGCCTCATCTACATGAGTTCTAAGCTAGCCAGGCCTATATAGTGAGACCCTGTCTCAAAAAGGAAAGAACAATTACATTTACCCATGTGACTGTGTGTGTGTGTGTGTGCGCGCGCGCGCGAATGTACATGCGCTTCTGTGTGTGCGTGAGTGTATATAGAGGTCAGATGACAACTCGCAGGAGTCAGTTCTCTCAAATCCTAGTGGCTAGGCTCAGCAGAAAATGCCCTTGACCACTGCTTGCTGGCCCCATAATATTGACAGTTTACTGACTACAGATCTCAGTATACTTCAAACATTCTCATATTCAAAACCAGATGCATGCTGTTTAAACACCTGCTTGCTAACTCTAACCAGAGTTAAGGCCTAGCAGCATTCTGGTAAGAACAGAGTGTATACACAGGAGCCCATGAAGAAATACTTCTAGGCAGCTTCAAGTTGCCTGTCAAAGGCAAAGCATGTTTAGGATACATTTCAAGCAGCTTAATATTTTATGTGGAATGGAACAGGATTCCTCCTTTGTTCCAGGAACTCAACCCATGAAGGCAGAGCTGTGCTGGTCATGGTGTGGAACACTGCAGTCACTCTTTACTGTTCTAGGTAGGACACCATGTTCTGTAAAGGCAGCAAAAGGAACAAGAGAAGATACCTTTGGGACCACCACCAAGTAAGACCACAGACAAGTGCGAAGGAACAGTTCCTGCCGACACAGAGGACGACTACCTACTAAAGCATGTTCAATGGGGCTTCTTCCTCTAAGAGATGACGAGAGTACAAAAGGTAATTATTAAAAAAATATGAATCATGAATTCATACAATTGTCTTTCAACAAGATCTCAACATTTTAATTTAAAATTAACTAATAAATCACAATTCTCTATTGCTTTAAAGATTATTTGTTTAAAAATGACACATCTCAAATGAACCATTACTATTAACTAGTACAGGTTAGTCTGTCCAGGTCAGGAGAGAATAAACAGCAGTGCAGCTCCCTTAACCTCGGAGTCAGGTCTGAGTGACAGAGTCCGTTGCCAGCAATGGACGTGCAAATAACCATCCAAGAAACTGTAACTACAAACCCCAAACTGCTTCTGTTGAGGGAAAGCCCTGTGGAGTCCCAGCATAAGGTGGGGCACTGGCATATGTCACAGGTAGTCTCTATGACTTAGGATGGAGTGCCTTCCTGAGCAGTCATGAGACAGACACCCAGTTCCATCATCTCCTTTGTCGGCAGCATCACCATCATAATCTATCCAGACAACTGTTTACAAACAATACTCACATCTGGAACTCAAGGGGCACCACAGCATCCCACCAGAAATCAACCAGTTTGTTTCTGTAATTTAGTGACAGTTGTAGAAGGCCAAATATAGTACAGAAAAAATGAAATCACATGGAAAATAGGTCATTAAGTGCTCTAGATGTTGAGTTTCACTGAAAACCTTTTCATTATGAGAACCCCAGAGACCTCCTCTTATCCCTGTTTGTTTGTTTTTTTTTTTTTTTAGGTTTTTCAAGACAAGGTTTCTCTGTGTAACAGTCTTGGCTGTCCTGGAACTCTCTTTGTAGACCAGGCTGGCCTTGAACTCACAGAGATCCACCTGCCTCTGCCTCCCAAGTGCTAGGATTAAAGGCGTGCGCCACCACCGCCCAGCTTTTCCCCATATCTTAATGGGCACAACAGGAAATGAAACTCTGACCCTTTTCCCAAGTATCCCCAAGAGCAAACTTATTCAATCATGATCTCTACTGTGCAGAGTGGCAAGCCTGTGTTAAGTTCTTCGAAAGGGGACGGTGGGGACAGGCACCTGAACCAACCACACTGCTTTCTCTTCTGTGGCCCCAGGAACGCAGAACGGACAAGTCCTCCTCCACAGGCCAAACAACAACGCAATAAGGAGAAGCAGAGGAAAGACAGGAGGGGAGGGCCGGCTAACAGCTAATGCTACAGGTCGCAGACCTTTCATTAAATCTTTAAAATAAAAGTAGTACTATCAATACGCACATTGCGGTTTTCTTTCTCCAGTTTTTTACGTCAATACTCTACTCATCCGGAAAAACAAAAACTCAAGTACCCCCAACACCTCAAATGACCCGCCACGTGCTTTGCTATTTCATCTCTCACAGTAAAACATTGATAATGGGTTGGGAACACTGTAAAGCAGGTGAGTCTTTACAGGCTACTGCCGCGAGCCTCATCTCTACAACATGAACATTTCATTGTTACAACTAGCCAGGAACTGAGCAAGGTTCAAATCGCTCTTGGTTTTTGCTACTCCCAAATACTTTTCCTTTAAATAGAAAAAAGTTCTTAGCTTTTAAATTCTGAAAATTCAATGGTTATTACTTGCCCTAGAGGGTGGAGGGGTGTATATGAAATAAGGGTTGATTCAAACAAAAGCCGACACCTAGAATCGCAACATATACAGACACTCATTTCCAAGGGAAGAGAGGGAAGGGGCGGCACCAGAGGCGTAAAGCCGGAGCGGAAGAACAACAGATCACTTTGGTTCCTAAAGCCAAATCTGGAGAAACAGGCAGAAAAGACAAAAATGGTAAGAACATACAGTCAGTGGGATTTTCTCTGTATCAATGATTTAGTTATAAATATAGATTATTAGTCCTCTTTCTATACATGTAACAAATGTCAAACTCACTACCATGAAATTTCTAAAGTTGACTCTTTCACATTTGTTAAAAAAGGTAAAAATCACATACTTTCCCCCTTTCAGTTTAAGCTCTAAACTGAACTACTACATGTACAACAGCTGGTCCTAACGTCTATAAAAAGTTAAAACATGTCAAGCTCCTTTGCCAATATAAAGAGCTACATAGTTCCTATCACACTTGCCTTGAATTTAGGCACGAGAAAAACTCAAAAGGAACGGGTCAGAGAAGGGAAGGCTACAGAGGAGAGAGAGAGAAGACCAGCAGATGAAATACTCAGACACCTCGAATCTGCCATTCAAGTATGGAAACACCCCAAAGGAGACAACAAACAGATCTACTGTAGTGGCAGTCATCAGAACAGTACGCAAACGTCAAGCGCTGTCTGCTGGAAATGTAAGGCTAGCAATGCAGTCCACGATTCCTTTTGGACCCTACAGCAGGGGTTCATCTGAAGTCCTAATTCTCTCACTGCAATTTTCTCTTGGTCATCTTTAGAAAATAGTAGTTTGCTTGTTTTCTCCATGTGATGCAGACTGTCTTTACACCCCTCAGAGTAACAATTTCATGTTTTAGAAAACTTCTTTTAGAAAATGGACAGAAGAATACGAGGCTTCAGTGACAACGTTAGCGGTTGCTCTTCATTGCTTCTTTAGCTGCCAGGATCAGTGGCGTCAAGCTAGATAATGGTTTGGCCAGTTTCAGGAAGGGATGCTGCGAGAAGGAGGGGAAAAAGGAAGTGCAGAAATGTTACTCAGTTAGAAACTAAAGCCCCCCAAGTTACCTATGGGTCATTATTTAATAAACTAAACATGTACTTTGATTCCTAAAATTCTCACACTCGGTATATCACTTTTACAGCTCCAAGGAGAGTTGGTTTGTGTGTGTGCATGAGCTTGTTTGTGTCCGTCCGTTGTTTTCATATTTGTGTGTATGTGTGGAGGCCAGAGTTCAATGTCAGGAGCCCTCCTCTATCACTTTTTCTTGTGTCTGTCACTGACTCTGGTGTCCACTGATTGGCTACAAGCTCCAGGGATCTGTCTGTTTCGCCAGCACTGGAGTGTACGGACATATAAAGTGTACAGAATACACAGACATCTCCCCTGCCCTGGTTTTGATTTTTGAGCTGTAGCTTATCTTGACTTCAAACTCACAGCAATGTCTGCCGACTCCCTAAGAAGTTGCTCCCTTCCCTTCTTCTCTTTTCGGCTTTTAGAGACGAGGTTTTGGTGTAGCCCTGGCTGTCCTCTTCACTTAAAGATCCTCTGAATGCTGGGATTAAAGGCGGGAACTATCATGCCTAGCTCTCTTTTTTTTTTCTTTTAATTTTTTAAAAATTTATTTTATGTCTATGAGTGCTGTCTGCATGTATACCTTTTTGCCAGAAGAGGGCATCAGATCTCACTAGAGATGGTTGTGAGCCACCATGTGGTTGCTGGGAATTGAATTCAGGGCTTCTGGAAGAGCACCAATGCTCTTAACCACTGAGCCATCTCTCCAGCCTGTCCTTTTTTTTTTCCCCTTAAATTACATTTTGTGTGTGTGTGTGTGTGTGTGTGTGTGTGTGTGTGTGTGTGTGTGTCTAGAGATAGAATTTAGGTATTCAGGCTTGATGGAAAGTACTTTCACCAAGAGAGCCATTTCATCAACCCCCAATAAGTTTTCCTAACTGCATAACATCTACAGATTTAAGGGGCCAGGAGAATAGCTCAGAAGGCAGAGTGCCTGCCTTACATGCAGAAAGCCCCAGGTTCAGTCCCTAGCGCTGCACAGGAGGATGGTGGTACATCTCTGTAATCCAGCACTTGGGAGGCTCAAGATCATTCTCCATCTTCAACCACACTGGTGAGCTGTAGGCCAGCCTGGGCCATATATACATAAATGAATAAAGACAAAATAGTTCTACAGAGTTAAGACCCATAAATATACTTATGACAGCAATGAACAGGTCCAAGATTTGATTTAGTATAGAAAACTTACTACTATGATTAAAACTTTATGCAATTAAAAATTGTTTTTTAAGGGCTGAAGAGATGGTTCAGCAGGTAAAGGCACTTGCTGGCAAGTCTAATGGCCTGTACCGATCCCTGAGACCTACTTGGTGCAAGGAGAGAACCAACTCTTGCAAGTTTCCTCTGACCTCCATAATGTCTGTCTACATATACAAATGTGCTCGAGACACACACACACACACACACACACACACACACACACACACACACACACACACACACACGCTAAATATTTTGTTTTTAGAGACAGGGTTTCTCTGTGTAGTTTTGGTGCCTGTCCTGAAACTCACTCTGTAGACCAGGTTGGCCTCAAACTCACGGAGACCCACTGCCTCTGCCTCCCGAGTGTTGGGAGTAAAGGCGTGCGGCAGCACTGCCCGGCCACCACAGTTAAGTTTTTAAAAAACTTCATTGCTAGAAATGAAAGCCTGCTGTGGGGGACCTGCCGGACATGTAGCCAGTGAATAGGGAGACGCCGACACTATGAAGTCCATCCCCCAAAAGTTACCTTCACCAAATTTACCTGTAACAGTTCTTTGGCTGAACCCCTCTTCTCCACATCCATCTCCAAACACCGGTTTAAGAAATCCCGAAATATTGGGGAAAGTTTCTCTGGATTCTGAAGTTCAGGAGTTCCATTTGTTGCTATCAGGTACAAAGCCTAAAACATAGAAGATTCTGGCATATTAAAGTCACTCACAAAGTGACAGTGCATCAAGCTTCATCCTCTGGCCGGTCGCCCTGTGCTCTCCAGGGGCAGCTGTCTTCTTTCCCACAACTCAGGCACTACAGGCTGAGGGCTTCTGGCTCCCCACTGCTCTGAGACCTTCACCATCCACCTCCTAACTCATGCTCTGATGGTGTATGGATCTTTGTTTCAACATCCAGGGACTCCAGGCTCCTCCTCCTCCTCACTTCTTCACTATAGCTCTTTACACTGCAATCTCTAATGTTACTCCTAATCTGTGGTGATTTCTGTAGCCATAGAGAAGCACACCACATTCCCTGACCCTTTCTCCCCTGACGCTTCCTCAGATGTATGTTTATGGGCACACACTCTCTTCACCAGGACTAGTAACTGCACTAACTCATTTACTCCACAGCTCGTCTTTTTCACTCTTAGTACCCCAACACTAGCAACTATTCATTCATTCATTCATTCATTCATTCATTATCTATCGATCTATCTATCTATCTATCTATCTATCTATCTATCTATCTATCTATCTATCTAGGTTTTTTTGAGACAGGGTTTCTCCGTGTAGTTTTGGTGCCAGGCTGGCCTTGAACTCAGAGATCTGCCTGGCTCTGCCTCCCGTGTGCTGGGATTAAAGGTGTGCACCACTGCCGCCACCGTTGCCAGGCCAATGCCAGCAATTCTAACCCAGGTTCCACTGATCTTCCCAGTGTCCATCATGCCCTTTTTGTGTGTGTGGGTGCATAGTGGGGATAGAACCCAGGGCCTCGTGCTTGTTAGACAAGCGCTTTGCTGTGGGGGCCAACCTGGTCTAGAGTTCCAGAACAGCTAGGGCTGTTACACAGAGAAACACTGTTTTGAAAAACCAAAAAGAAAAGGCAAAACCATTCTGGCTGACATCCCTTAAACCTGACATCTGCTTACACTAGGCATGGAATCTCAGCATTCCAGATGCAGAGGCAGGAGGTTTACTTGGTCTATGCATAGCAAGTTCTAGGCCAGGCTGGACACACAAAACAACCCAAATAAAGTAAAAACACCACTTACTACCTCATATAGGTTCTTAGTGCTTCCAATCAAGAATCTTCCAAACAAGACCCCCCCCCCCCACTCCATTTAGTCTCCTTCCTGTTATTTATTTATTTATTTATGTTGGGAGTTTAGGGGGAGGTTTCGAGACAGGATTTCTCTGTGTAACCCTGGCTATCCTAGAACTCACTCTGTAGACCAGGCAGACTTGAACTCACAGAGAGCTACCGGCCTCTGCCTCCTGGACTAAAGTCAAGGTCCTCTGCAAAAGCAGCCAGTGCTCTTAACTGTTGAGCCATCTCCCCTGACCCTCTCCTTGTCCCTTGAGACAGGACCTTGGCTTTGTAGCCCTGGCTACTCAAGATATAGCTGAGACTGGCTTCAAACTTGTGGCCATCCTCCTGCCTCAGCCTCTTGGTACCACATTAGAGGCCTGAGCTACTGTTAGGAAATGTAAAGGTTGGAGAGAGAGGTAGAGTCCATCCTCTCAGCTGCTGGAGCACTCAGTGCAGTCTACTCTTTTGTTTGAATATAGGCTTTAACATTACCATTTGGGCATCTTACCTCAGAGAACTAACTTTCCTCATCCTTGGGACTTAGGAGCCAAGATTCATTGGTGATAACCTTGCTATACCCAGGGTACCTAAATGTGTAGGAAAAGGCACCTAATGGGCTGGGGATGTGGCTCAATTGACAGTGTTTAGCATGCATGATGCCATGGGTTCAGTTCTCAGCATCACATAAAACTGGGTGGTAGTGGTATACATCTGCATGTCTAGTGCTTGGGAGGTAGAGGTAGGAAAATCAGAAACTCATGGTCATCTTCAGCTATAAAGCAGCCCCCACCCCCACCCCCCACACACAACAAGAAGGAAAAACCCAACTATCTAGGGTACTTCAACTCTGTAGAAAAGCAATTCCATTCACATTAACAAAACTGTATGACTCACTACCCCAAATCTATAGACTTTTGAACTCTCTACTCTGTAACTCAGAGGCAATACAATTTTTATTGTATACAGAGAAAGAGATTAGATCTCATCAACCATATTCTAAATTCTTGTCTAATGGTTGACATAAGCCAAGTACCCAGTTTGTTGAAGAAAAGGACTTCCTCCTGGCCTTGAGTGATGGCTCCCTGTGAAGACACCCCCTGCCAAGTCTGACAGCCTGAGTTAAGAGGAGAAACCATCCCCACCAGTTGTCCTCTGACCTCCAACACGTACTGTGGCGCGCGCGCGCACACACACACACACACTCAAAGAAAGAAAGAAATGCAAAACCTTTTTAAAGAAAAAGCGAGGTTTTTCCTTACAATAAGGCTAGCATCTCACTGGTCTTACCCTCAGAGGATTTTCATTGAGGTATGGAGGCTCTCCCTCAACCATCTCAATAGCCATGATGCCCAGAGACCATATGTCAACTTTGGGGCCATAGGCTTTCCGTGTAACCACCTCTGGTGCCATCCAGTATGGCGTTCCAACCATAGTACTGCGTTTGCTCTGCTCAGGGGTGATCTGGGCACAGAAGCCAAAGTCAGCTACGGAAGAAAGCAAAGCACCAGGGTTATTGGCTTCAAGGGATACTTCCATCTGTCCCCCTCAGCAGACGTGGCTGCACCCTCATCATCCACCTTCCTCTTTGCAAAGAATTTGAAAATAAAGCAGAACAGTAAGTTTAAAATTTGAGGATGTTATTTACTAATAATTTTCACATTTACTTTTGACAACAACATACACAGTATCAGGTCTTTTTCTTCTGAATAACTAATTCTTTTCTACAGAGTTAAAATTGAAAGTGGTAAAAAAAAATTATCCAAAGTGAACAATAAAACTAAATGCAGTGAGCCAGATGGTGGTGGCGCATGCATTTTAACCCAGCACTCAGGAGGCAGAGGCAGGCAGATCTCTATGAGTTCAAGGCCAAATGGTCTACAGAGTGAGTTTCAGGACAGCCAGGGCTACACAGAGAAATCCTGTCTCGAAAATCCAAAACAAACAAATCCAAAAACCTAAATGCAGTGATTAAACCTGGCAATGTTCAAGACATGGAAGCTACATTTCTTTCTTTTTTTGGTTGGCTACTGTTTCTTAATACTTTCTTTTAACATTTATTTTGTGTATGTAGGGTGCATGTGTCATAGATCACGTGGGAATTCAGAGGACAATATTCAAGAGTTCATTTTCTCTAACCATGTGGGTTCTGGGAACTGAACTCAGGCTGTCATGTTTGATAGCAAAACCTTTACTGGCTGAACCACTTGGCCAGCAGGAATTGAAATTTTAATAAAACAGCCAGAGCTAGATTCATTATGCATCCAACTCAGCAGAAGGCCTAGAAAAAGTCCACACTTAACTGTCTCATTTACGCTTAAAGAACAAGATGCCTACTGTAGTACCTGATACTACACTAGCTGGGATGAGAACTTATAAATTTGTTTCTTCTGTTGTTAAACCCATTTAACTCCTAATTTTTTAGATTTTTTTTTTTTTTTTTTTTTTTTTGGTTTTTCGAGACAGGGTTTCTCTGTGTAGCTTTGCGCCTTTTCCTGGAACTCACTTGGTAGCCCAGGCTGGCCTCGAACTCACAGAGATCCGCCTGGCTCTGCCTCCCGAGTGCTGGGATTAAAGGCGTGAGCCACCACCGCCCGGCTAATTTTTTAGATTTTATTCAGACTGGGTTTCAGGTAGCCTAGGCCGGCTTTGAACTCAAGATGTAGTCAGGAATGACCTTGAAGGCCAGTCAAGGTGGTGCATGCCTCTTAATCTCAGCAATCGATAGGGAGCCAGAGGCAAGTCCATCTCTGTGAGTTTGAGGCTAGCCTGTTCATACAGTGAGTGCCAGGACAGCCACAGCTAAGTGGTGAGATCCTGTCTCAAAACAACAACAAAAACAAATCCCCCCAAATGAATTTGTGAGACTCCCAACAGCCTTCTGAGTGCTGAGATGATAGGGATGCACTACCATGTGACTCCTTACATAACCTGTCAGCAAGTGGCCTTGTTACCCTTAGACTTTACTGTTATTATGTATAAAAACTATCAAAGAACTGCTTGTTTTTTTTAGTCTATAACTTTTTTTAAAAACAAACAAACAAACAAACAAAAAAAAACAGGGTTTCTCTGTGTAACAGTCCAGGCTGTCCTGGAACTTGCTCTGTAGACCAGACTGGCCTTGAACTCAAGAAATCCAACTACCTCTGCCTCCTGAGTGCTGGGATTAAAGGTGTGTTGGGATAGTCTTACTGTATAGACAAGACTGGCCTGGAACTCACTGGAATGAAAGGTTGTGTCATCACACCTGGCTTTATTTCTGGCTTTGTGAAGATAGGGTCTCATATTTATAAGATGAATACATATATAGCTTGAGGCCAGATGAGATACATGATACTGTCTCAAAAACATGGGGGTGAGGGGTGGGGGGGGGGGAGGCACAGTTTGGTACTCTGGGTTTAGTCCTAAACTGCATAAAACTGGGTGTGGTGGCACACCTGTGCCCTCAGCACTTGGGAGGCAAAAGGCAGGGCTTCTGCAGGTTCAGTCAGCCTGGGCTGTGTAGTGACTTTACAGCCAGTCCAGGCTATAGAGCAAGCCCCAATGCAAAAGAATAACAAGTGTTTCGACCACTTGATTATCAAATAACACTTTAGAGAGTGTGGCTAAGAGAAGGGGGTGGGGAGGGGAGAAGGCCCTTTTAGCAGATGAGATTTAAAATAAAAAAGCTTTTGGTTTCTTGATTCAAGATAATGCTTTGAGTTTTGAAAGTGGTCCTCCAGGGGATGTAGTTTGGACTGTGGCCCTGGAAAAAGTCTGGCTGGTTCATGACTTCCTGTGTCGGACAGATAAGGTTTTAGGAAAGGAGACTGTTCCATGTCACTCTGAGGTCAAGGTCACACAGTCTTTCTCCGATTAGGCTGTCTCCAAACACTCTATGAGGGTGAAGGGGCAGGCTGAGAAAAATACGCCAACAATTACACCCAGTCACATTTCCTACAAAACAGAATCCTATCAGGGTAGCCCAGATATCAGTCCTCTGCATATCATTTTGTTTTATTTTAATCTCCAAAAATAATTCCCAACATTAGTATTTTCCCTATTGTTCATATGAAAAAACAAAACAAAACACAAAAAACAAAGACACATCAAGTAATTTGCGCAAAATACTCATCAAGTAGTAAGATAAACACAAGTTGTCCAGTTCACAATGCACATTTAACAAGTCACCCACCCTTCAGACAGTAAACTACAGATACATTAAAACGTCACTTCATTGCTACTCACTAAGTTTAACTGAGCCTTCCATTCCCAAGAGCACGTTGTCACTTTTGATGTCTCTGTGGATCACTTGATTAGCATGTAAAAACTCCAAGGCCTGTAAACACTGAATACAGAGAACACCTATCAATAAAACAACCCAACAAGTCCAAGGGAGGTCACATACAGTGCAAGGGTCTGAGCACTGCCCTGCCCAGTAGGAGGCCCTCCAAGATTTAATATCTGGAGAGAAAAGATATCCTTTTACCTGCAAAGTCAAGAAAAACAAACAAAAGCTACAACTTTGGCTGGGCATGATGAAACATGGCTGTATTCTCAGCACTGGGAGGCTGAAGGAGAAGAATGGAGAGCTCCAGGATAGCCCAGGTTGAGTTGTACAAAGCAACACTGCTTTAAAAAAGAAGGCTGGTGGTGGCGCATGCCTTTAATCAAGCACTCAGGAGGCGTAGGTAGATGGATCTCTGAATTTTGAGTCCAGCCTGGTCTACAGAGTTCCAGGACAGCTAGGGCTACACGGACAAACCCTGCCTCTGACAAATAAGTAAATAGCCTAAAAAACAAACAAACAAACAAAACAACCCAAGATATTCTTCCATTGTCCGCCCTTGAACGCTATTGTATAGTGAAAAATGATCAGAAGTCCTGATCCTCCTGCCTCTACTTCCACAGTGCTGGGATTACAGGGATGGGCCATTACGTTAGGCTTATTAACTAATGCCTCATCTGTTTGCTTGGTCACTGCTTTTTTTGGGGGGAGGGTTTTTGTTCTGTACCCCATGTTGGCTTGGAGCTCCTCGTAAACCTGCTGCCTCAGTCTCACAAAGTACTAGGACTGCAGGTGCAAGGCACCGTACCTGGAGACTGTTTCTCCTCACTGATCTTTGATTATGTGTGGGGATAGCTGTGTACCTGGGTTCAATGCTTTTGGAGGCCAGAAGAGGGAATGGGATCCCCTGAAGCAGGAATTACAGGCAGTTGAGAGTTGCCAGACATTGGTGCTGGAAACTAAACTCCAGCTCCCTGGAAGAGCAGGAAGCATTTTTAACCACTGAGCCATCTTTCCAAGCTCCACTTCTCACTGATTTTCAAAACGTAGTTTTCAGTGGCTCACTTATAAAATGAAGACTGGGCCTATATAACTTCTAGGCCTTTTCAGGTTTAAATGTCTAAGACTGCACCGCACTTGGTAAGCACACACAGATTTTTGAGAAATGATCTCAACCTTAAGTGGACTTGTGACCAGGTATAACAATGGGGGTGCACACCTTTAATCCCAGCATTTAGGAGGCAGAGGAAGGAGGATTTCTGTAAGGCTAGGCAGAGCTACATAGTAAGATCTTGTCACCCACACAAACAGAGTGTATTTGTGATTATTCCTACTAGAACCTGAGCTACCCCAGAGTCTTGGTTTTAACTACAGAATAAGTAGTTAGGATTTGTTCAAGGCTTCAATGTGGTCTAAGCAGACGTCCTCATACTGTCATGGTGGAGTTCCTATCAAACTGTATCCACAGCCTGATGAAAGGAGAGGGCGGTGGCAGGGCTCAGTGGCACAGCACCAGCATGCATGAGGCTCTGGGGTTCAACGCCAGCACCGCAAAAACGAAATAAAGAATCCTTAGTATAAAAGAGTAACTTTCCGAGGCTGTAGAGACGGCTCAGCAGTTAAGAGCCTGACTGTTCTTCCAGAGGATGTAGGTTCAGTTCCCAGCACCCACAGAGCAGCTCACAAGTGTCTGTAACTCCAGGATCCAACATCCTCACACAGACATACACACAGGCAAAAACCAATGCACATAAAAGTAAAAATAAATGAATTTAAAAAAAAATACCTTTCCTCTGATGCCTCATACCAGAAAGCATTGAGTATAAAGACTAAGTTTCTCCTTTCCTTAAACGGAAAATGAGATTTTCGGGGGATTAGAGAGATGGCTCAGCCACTAAAAGCACTGGCCACTTTCCCAGGGAACCTGGGTTCACAGTAGCTCACAACTCTAACTCCAGTCCCAATGCCCTCTCCTGGCCTCCTTGGGTACTGCATGCATACAGTACACAGGCAAACGTGCAGCCCAAACACCCCCCCACACAAAATACAATACACAAAATCTCACACAAAACTCTGGTCTAGTGTTTCTAAACATAAAAGGAGACTGAATTGTAAAACTGAGAAAACTCAGTTGTATTTTTTATTATTCCCATCAGAGTAGATCAAAATTTGTATACCATTTTCAACAACTAAAAATCTTATTCCAAAATCTCAACTACTGCCCCCCCCCCCCCCTCTGGCTTTTTGAGACAGGGTCTCTTGTGTAGCTTTGGCTGTCCTTGTACTTAGAGATCCACCTGCCTCTGCCTCCCAAGTGCTGGGATTAAAGGTGTATCACCATGCCTGGTTATGAACTGTTCATTTAAGTTGGGGAGATAGATCTGTGTCAGTACACCTAATCAGGTTCTTGGGAAGGATAAAGGGTAGGGAAATATTTATACAATTTACAAATCTGTCACAGTTCTAAAATTCTGGCACAGAAAGAAAATCAAAGTGAATGGGTAACAAAACTTTATTTATTGAGTATACAGTATTCTGTCTGCATGTGTGCCTGTGGGCCAGAAGAGGTTGTGAGCCACCAAGTGGTTGCTGGGAATTGAACTCAGGACCTGTGGAAGAGCAGCCAGGTGCTCTTAACTGCTGAGCCATTTCTCCAGGTAGATAACAGAACTTCTAAAACTGTTGGATCAACTGAGCAGAACTGCTAGAAAAACCAACGAAACACAAATTTGTAAATTTTAGCCAGCTTTTAAGTGACCCAATGTACTCGTTAAAGGATGTGTGCTATTTGGAACTATTAAAGAGCTCTGTGTGACACCAGGCACAGCGGTGCACGCCTGTAATTCCAGCACCTAGGAGTACCACAATGAAGTCATCCTCCTGCATATTGCTTGAGGCCAGCCAGGACCACAGGAGGCCCTATCTCACAGAGCAGCAGTTGATATTTTCTAAGAATTGGGTTTTAAATACCTTTGGTAAAAGCCGAAAAAGAAAGACCTCCTATCTGCAACCTTTCCAGTTCACATTTGTATCACTGTACATTGCTGAAGGCTAAAGACAAACCACAGAGAACACAAAATAGTCCTATGAACTTAGCACAAACCTCCACAAGTTGTCCTCTGACTTCCATGTATGTGTCATGGTATGCACATGCCCACCCATATGCACATACATACAAGTAAAAATGTAATAAAAATTTAAAATATATGTATACAAGAAAATAACTAGGTTCATCACCTTCAGTGGTCTTACTAAAGCCAAGGGCATCGCACAGATACTTAAGCATATACATCTTGTTTGTCACACTGGTTCTAGTTTCTACTACTGACTCACACATTTTTGTATGTTTTTGTGTTTGGAGACAGGGTTTCTCTGTGTAGTTTTGGTGTCTGTCCTGGATCTCACTCTGTAGCCCAGGCTGGCCTCGAGCTCACAGAGATCTGCCTGGCTCTGCTTCCCAAGTGCTGGGATTAAAGGCGTGCGCCACCACCACCCAGCTTTGATTCACACACTTTTAATGGTATTCTATTTTCCTATCTAGATGATGATCACACTGCTAAAGTCTGCCTGTGACTTCTATACCTCACAGGACCATGTTTTGTCCCCAAATTATGTTCCAAAGGAAGGAAAGGGCTAAAGTTCTTTTTTTTTTTTTTTCCCTTTTTGTTTTTATTGGAGACAGGGTCTCACTATGCAGTCCTGGCTGGCCTCACATTTATAGAGCTCTCCCTATGCATCCCCATGCCCAGCAGGATTGAAGCTCTTATCTGGGATGAAATAATAGAGGAAGAACTTGCAAAAAAAAGAACACATAAAAAGTATACAGAGAAAAAGTCTCTGCACATACACAAAAAAATCCTTTTCTTCATCCTTGCTAAGTATGCACTCTAACATCCAAAGGACGCAGACCCACCTCTCTGCACACAGCTGCAATCTGTGCTTCGTCCATGCAGGTTTCTGTTACAACATCAGTGAGGGACCCACCAGCAAGGTACTCCATTACCACAAACAACTCATCTCCTACCAGGTAACTGAAAACAGAACATACAAAATACACGTGGGTTTTTATTTTTTCTAAGAACATGGCTCTCTGCACTGAGGAATTAAAATGCCAAGCATATTAACAACAAAAGCAAAGAGCCAACAGTTTGAGAACTAGGAAGAGCACTAGATAGGTACAACAGCAGCACAGATTTAGATGTTCTCAGCTGGGCAGAGTGGTGCACACCTTTAGTCCCAGCACTGGATCTCTGTGAGTTTGACCAGCGTGGTCTACATAGTGAGTTTCTGAACAGCCAGAGCTACATAATGAGACCCCGTATGAAAAAACAAAACAATCAAACAAACAAAAATTTAAGATGTCCTTAGCTGGTAGCAATCTACAATCCCAACACTCAAGAAGCAGATAGGAAGATGGCCCTGAATTGGAGGCCACAAGAGCTATAGATAAGACACTGTCTCAAACAAAACAAATGAAAGCCAGAAAACAAAAATGTTTCAGAATCATTTTAAAGTTATAGTTTTCCCACATTGTCAGAGTGTATAAATATGTTATTGCAATTAGAATAATCCAATATAATTGCTTTAAAAAAAAGAATCATTTGATTGGGGCAAGCTAGGCATGGTAGCCACTGAGGTAGGGAGCTGCAAGTTCAAAAACCCTGTCTCAAAAAAAAAAAAACAAAAAACAAACAAAAAGAAAAAACGAGACCCCCAACCCCCGTATGTGTGTGAGAGGGGGAACGAACAAGTGGGAGATCTGGAAATGTTCAGTGACTCATCCGAGGTCACACATATAGAAATTGACATATCCTCAGCCAACCAGTAACCCCAAAGCCTAGGCTTGGTCTAAGCTTTCATGTTGTGCTGATGGGAACAATATTTTATTTTTAAAAAATTTTAAATTAATTTATGCATATGGGTGTTTTGTCTGTGCATGTGTGTGAGTACCAATCAACATGCCTAGAGGCAAGAAGAGGGTGCTGGAGCCCCTGAGACTGGCATTAGAGACATGTGAGCTGCCATGTGGGTGCTGAGAACTGAACCCAGGTCCTCTGGAAGAGCAGCCAGTGCTCCTAACCACTGAGCCATCTCTCTAGCTCTGTGAAATTGATAGTTCAAAAAAGCAAAAATGGGTGGCTGGAGTGTTAAGAGAAGCTGTCTTTCCAGAGGACTCACACCAGGAGGCTCCAAACCTCTCTACCCAGTTCTAGGCTCCGACCCTCCCTCTTCTGGCCTCTCTAGACACCACCATCCGAAGCAGTGCACATAGACAAGCAGGCACACGCATTCACATAATTAAAAAATTCTTAAAAGGAGAAGGCACAGGTAATATCAGAATTTCAAAAAACAAAAAAGATTTCAAAAAGCAAGCAAGGAAATGGATCTGAAAATTTTGTTTCTTTGAATAAAGTCCTTACAAATAAGGGTCAAAGTCTAAGCAAATTTAAATATAGAACAAAATCATCTGCAATCTATTATATCTAATGCAAACTATGCTATCATTCACTAAATACTATATCTAATACAATCTGTTATCATTCACTAAAGTCTTACTATCTAATACAACCTAGGTGGTCATTCACTTAAGTAAATGAGATTCTTTTAAAAAAAAAAAAATCAGTTGTAGGGCCAGAGAGATGGCTCAGTGGTTAAGAGCACTGGCTGCTCTTCCAGAGGACCCAGGTTCAATTCCCTGCATCCGAATGGCAGCTGTCTTTAACTCCAGTTCCAGGGGATCTGGCACCCTCACAGACATATATGTAGGCAAAACACCAATGCACATAAAAATAAATAAATCTGTAAAGAAAACCAGTTGTAACACACACAATTTTATATTTTGCCCTTTATTTGTTGTTTAGCACAATAGCTAAGCTCAGAGATCTTTTGACAGCAACTTGAAATGGAAACATGAAAAGTAACACCTGTAATAAAAACTGTCTGGCCATGGGGACACATGCTCTGACCCCAGCTTCCTGAGAGGCCAAAGCAGGCCCACCACAGGCTTGAGGCTTTCCTCCTGGGTTACATAAAATAACAACTAATCTCACAGCTGGAAACCTGTGGCTAATCATCTCTGCGACAGACCACAGCACGAATCCCAGGCAGCCATTTCCTCATGTTTCTGCTCTGCTCATCTCAGTGACGACAAGCTCCACCAGCAGAGCCCTTCACTGAGATGTCCTCTCCCCTGCCCAGTGAGATGCTTTCAGAAAAGGCCCTCTGCAGTGTGCGCGTTTTCACCTTTCTGCCCTCCCTCTCTGGCTTCCTTTTCAGCATTGGTATTTCAATCTCAAATGCTGTATGTCTACAGAGACTGGAAGAGGGAGCTGACTGCCCTAGACCAGAGTCACGGTGGGTATGAGCCATTATGTGGGTGCTGGAAGCCAACCCTGGGTCCTCTAGAAGGCAGCAAGAGCTCTTAATTGCTCGGCCCTCTCTCCAGCCCTAAATGTCCACTTTTATCCCAGTGCATGTTTGTTTCTTTGCTCATTAATTTTTTGTTTTAAGATTTATCTATGTAATTTACCTGTGTATGTTTGCCACAGTGAGTTTATGTGCACTATGTGAGTGTTAGCAGAGGCCAAAACAGGGCATGGATCCTCTGAAGTGGAGTTACAGGCAGTTCTAAGTTACCATGTGGGTGCTGGGTCCTCCCCAAGAGCAGTAAGTGCTCAGCAAGAGCACAAATCATTTCTCCAGCCTCTTTTTCTCATTTCTTACTTTCCTTCATTCATTCTCCTTTTTAAGACAGGGCCTAATTAGGCTTGCCCTGAACTCTTCCATCCTCCTGTCTCAGCTCTCCAATGTTGGAATTACAGTCATGAATCACTACCCAAGTTGATCTCAATTTTAAAGAACATATTCATATTTACCTGTCCAAGAAGTTAACTATGTTGGGATTCTTTAATTCTTTCATCACCAGAATTTCATTAATGATCAATTCCTTCTTTGGTTGTTTCTGTAAATTAATCTGCTTAATAGCAACCTATAATAAAAAGATATTTGAAACATCAAAACAGCATTCCTAATTCTCTGACAAAGTTACAAGCACCAATTGGCAAGTTATTTAAATATGTATACCTCACACAGTGAGACTGTAACTTACTCATGCATGATGTTTTTACATGTATGCTGCCTATGCACAATGTTTTTGTGATACAGATTCTAAATTATATTTGAATTTGTTTTTAAAATGGCATTTTGTTTGTTTTATGTGTGTGGTTATGCATGTGCCATATTGCACATGCTGAAACCAGAGGGAACGAACTCAGGGTGGTGAGTGACTTTACCTGCTGAGCTATCTCACTGACCCTAGATTTATCTTCAAGTTTACTAACCAACTAAGGTCAGTCTATACCAGGAATTATTGTTTAAAATTCTAAACTGGCAAATATTTTTAAAACATTTCCTTATTTATGACAGTGAATACATACATTCTTCATTCCCCTAACATGACTGACAGATCAACTCTTACAATACATTCTAGGGCTGGGACGATAGCTCAGCTGCTAAAGCACTTCCCAGGACAAAGATCTGCATTCCTGTCCCCAAACCTGCTGTGGGGGCACGGATTTATAAATCCAGTGCTTGGGAAGTCCACAGAGGCAGACCCCCTAGGTCCCTGATCAGCCAGTCTCACTTATTTGGTGAGGACAGCCTCTGGCTGCTACACATTTATGCACACGAAAGCACACAAGCCCCGTGTACCCACAGCACGGTTCCACCCTGACCCCTTCTCCCTACACAAAGAGCCGATGGAACAGTAGCTACCTCTTGTCCCAGTGCCACATCAGTCGCAGTAAAAACGGTGCCAGAAGCCCTGGAGGAGAAAAGACAGTTACACCATTCACACTATTCCAACACTGTAAACAACTGAAAAGTTATTTAACATCTTAAGACTCAAGACTTCTAAAACAAAAAGAGGGGAAAGACAAAAAGACAATCCTTGTGGCCAAAACTTACCCAGGAAATATTTCAGAACTATAAAAATATAAGGGAAGAAAAAGAAGAGAACAGCATACACTCACAAATCTACTTCTATGCTTAAGAAACAAAGAAGTGGCAGGGCATGGTGTCCCACACCTTCAATCCCAGCACTCAGGAGGCAGAGACAGGCAGATCTCAGTGGGTTTGAGGCCAGCCTGGTCTACATAATGAGTTCCAGGACAGCCAGGGCTAGGTAGAAAGATCCTGTCATACAATAAACAACAACAACAAAAAAAACCAAACCAACAACAATAAAAAAAAAACAAACCAAAATAACAACAAAAACCAACCAACCAACTAAACAAACAAAAACCCCCAAGGGAAAAACAACACAAACCACTCCTATGAATAAGTAAGCCAGGGTGCATATGTCTATGAGCCCTTACTCAGGAGTTTAAGGCAGGAGGGTGATGCTGGCTCAATGCTAGTTTGGGCTTTACAGAGTTTGTCTCAAGAAAGCAAAATTCGGGCTGGAGAGATGGCTCAGAGGTTAAGAGCACTGACTATTCTTCCAGAGGTCCTGAGTTCAATTCCCAGCAACCACATGGTGGCTCACAACCATCTGTAATGAAATCTGGTGCCCTCTGTGGCCTGCAGGCATACATGCAGGCAGAACACTGCATACATAAGTAAATAAATAAATCAAAAAAAAATTTAAAAAAAAAAAAAAAGAAAGAAAGCAAAATTCAAACCAAACAACAAAATCAAACAATAAACTATGACAAAACTTGAAGGCTGCCTTTCTACCCTTTGTAACAGGACCTACTGGCCTGCGTTCTGTGTGTATTCTGGGTTTGACATGTACCACTCCTAAACATGTTTCTGGACTTCTAATTGCAAAAAAGACATGGATATGTTTCTGAAGAAAATATACTTGACTTCATTTTTAAACTTCACAAAGTTCTGTTTCAAGAATTTCTCTTCAATATCAACACTGGATTAGTGATTGTCATTCATATGCGTAAGCATTATTCTTATTCATTCATCATCATTACTATGTAATTAATTAATTATTATTATTCAAAAGTACAAACATAAAAAAGGCTGGAGATGGAGCTCAGTAGTAGAACCCTTGCCTGGCAGGCACAAGGCTCTACATTTAATCTCCAGCACTGAAAACAGTGACTTTCAATTTTTTTGTTATTAAAATCCATGTTAAATTAAGATTGGAAGAGGAAACAAAACGAAAAACCAAAAACTCAATACTTGACTTAAAGATTTTTTCTTTTACTGCCAATAGCCTGCAATAAATATTTTAATTATCTTTAAAATACATTATATATGTAATCTTTCTACCTATCTGATCCCTCATCACCTACGGGAAAAAGCAATGAAAGCCACACATGGTGACATACACTTTTAGTCCTAGCACCAGGGAAGCTAAGGATGGAGGATCACTAAGACTTGGATTACACAGTGGGTGTGGGGCCAGCCTGGGCTACATATACATAGGTCCCTATGGAAGACGATGATGGAGGAAGTGAAGGGGAGAACAGGTTGAGAGAAAGAGGAGGAGGGAGGAGGGAGGAGGGAGGAGGGAGGAGGGAGGAGGGAGGAGGGAGGATAGACAACATAAAGTTACTATTAACCAGTGCTGGATTACTTTTATTTTTTGAGACAGGGTCTTATTATGGGCTCAGGCTGGCCTCCAATCTGTAGCAATCCTACCCCAGCGTCTCAAGTGACAGGGTTACAAGTATGTATCATTATACCCAACTCAGAAGTACAGTGCTGCTGTAACAGTCTCGACACACAACTGTGTTATGTATTTACACAAGTTCCCAAGTAACACCCAGAATAGTTAAGTACTCAGTGTATGAGGGAAGATTCTGTATACCTAGGAGGACTGAATATGAAATCAACAGACTCAAACTTACCCTTGTCCAATTTTTTCATATCTTGTGTATTTTTTCTTAGGATCACCTATGCTCACAATAGTTCCTATTTTAAACAAACAAAATTAGAAGCCAGTCAAGCAAACTAAATGTAAATAAAATTTGGTAATTATTCCTTTTAATAATCTGCACTGATTATAAAGGTGCTTTTCCATACACGAAGTTTCAAAAAATAATTTGCTTTAAACAATCAATACTGAAGAAAAATAAGCAGGGGCTGGAGAAATGTCTCAACAGTTAAAACCATGGGACCTGGGTTCAGTTTCCAGCACCCGCATAATAGCTTACATACACCCATAACTCCAGTTCCAGGGGATCTAATATCCACTCCTGACCTCTGCTGGCACTAGGCATACACGTGATGCATATACATACATATAGGCAAAACACTCAATACACATAAAATTTTAAAGTTGAAAAGAAACCAAGAAAAATAAGCAATAAAAGGTGGTGACACTCTTCTCCATTGGGTTAGACCCCCCCCCCCCCCCACACACACACACAAGGTTTCTCTGTGTAGGTCTGGCCGTCCTGGAACTCACTTCTGTAGACCTGGCTGGCCTCGGATTCAAAGATCCACCTGCCTCTGCCTCCTGAGTGCTGGGATTAAAGATGTTTGCCTTCACTGGTTAGACCAGGTTAGACATTTTAATCACTTTCTTAAAAATCACGACATTTAGCCAGGTGGTGGTGACGTACGCCTTTAATCCCAACACTCGGGAGGCAGAGCCAGGCGGATCTCTGTGAGTTCGAGGCCAACCTGGTCTACAAAGCAAGTTCCAGGACAGACTCCAAAGCTATATAAAGAAACCCTGTCTCGAACCCACCCCCCCAAAAAAATCATGACATTTGCCAGGCAGTGGTGGTACACGCCTTTAAATCCAGCACTCAGGAGGCAGAGGCAGGCAAATCTCTGAGGTCAGCCTGGTCTACAGACTGAGTGCCAGAACAGCCAGGACTACACAGAGAAATCCTATCTCAAAAAACAAAACCAAACAAACAAAAAAGACATTTTAGTATAACCAACTATCTCAGTCAGCCTGAAACTCATGGGGTTCTCAGGATGCAGGGGGTATAGTGTGTGTGTGTGTGTGTGTGTGTGTGTGTGTGTGTGTGTGTGTGTGTGTGTGTGTGCGCGCGCGCGCGTGTGTGTAAAAACAAAACCAAAACCCAGGCTCCTGTATCACAGGCTAGTCTTGAACTTACTAAGTAGTTGAGGATGATCTTAAACTTTTGACCCTCTTGCTTCTACCTCACAGATGCTGGGATGCAAGTATGCACCATCCTGTCCCATTTATGTAGTGCTGGAGATCAAACATCTTAGGGCATTGATGGGAGAATTCCCACAAAGCTATAACCAGTTTGAAACTAGAGTATTAGTACCTGGCTTTGATCTGCCTTTTGTGATTGCACCCCGGCTCCATACCTTCTATTTGAAGTCTTATCTGAGAATTTTCCTATGCAAACTTACTAACAACCCAGAAAACTGTGGTACTGTTACTGAGAATTTGCATTTGGCATTATCCCTCTGGGGGGCTTAGATCAAAGACTTTGGTATATGGAAATTGACTTGTTAAAGGTGTAATTTGTGTAACAATAAAAGGGCCCTTTGCTGAGCAAGGGTGATTCAGTCCTTAGGGGCGAATTCACCCTGCAGCTGGAAAGGATAAAAGTTTATCCTTCAGGTGCCCAGTATTTCTTTCCATGGATCCATGTGAACCCATTATACAACAGGGCATGCTAGGTAAGCACTCTACCAGCTCAGCTCCACCCCCAGCCCTTTTCTTAATTGATTGAGATAGCCTTGGCTAATCCAGAACCTAATATGTGGTCCAGGCTAGCTTTGAACTCACACCAATACTCCTGGCTCAACTTCCTAAATGCTGAGATTACAGGTAAAAGCCACCATGACCATCTATGACTTTGATAAGCTGTGAAAGACTTACTATCAGAAATAATAAATGAGTAAAAAGCTAACTGAAAGACCCTTAAATGCCTTTCAAACTCTTCCAGTCCATCTTTCACCTTTTGTTTTGTTTTGTTTTGTTTTAAGACAGGGTTTCTCTGTGTAGCCTTGGCTGTCCTGGAACTCACTCTGTAGACCAGGCTGGTTGATCCCCCTGCCTCTGCCTCCCGAGAGCTGGGATTAAAGGCTTGCACCACCACTGCCCAGAAAAACTAAGTATTTTGAAAAAACTTCAATATACTAAGAAATAAATATTAAATTCAAGAAATTGGAAAAAAATCTTAAACTCATATTTACTATTAAGTCAAAACAGGAGAAAATGACTCAGCATTGTCAGCTGCTTAAGGCAAGACATGACTAGATGAAGCAAAGTTATAATCTACCTAAGTACTGCACCGCTCCAAGCTATAAACACAAAGCCAAGGCCCCAGTGAGACACTGAAAAGAACTTCGGCAAAGGGGCAGGTAACTAGAGGTCATGACTAAATGGTGGCAGCCACTGTCCTGGTCTAGTGTTTGAAAGGAGCAGCTTGCCAAAGAGAAGGACATTATGTATTTCCACAAACTGCTGGGGTAAAAGCAGGTTCGTACTTGAAAGTGTTGAGGAATAAAAGCAATAACTAGCTACAGGGAATCTTTCCTTGACTCCTAGGTCAGTGCTCTGTGGAGCTGCTGTAGATTTGTCAACAGATACTATTGTTACCTTTTAATGCTTGACCTAAGCCAACAATGGTAGACTATAAGGAAAGAAAAAGAACCCTCTACATACTGTATGCTGATACATATTACAGAAAGTCACATTCTTTAGGAACACTTTATGTTTCTTTTTTGTTTAGTATGTATGTATATGTGTGGGTGCATGCATGTGTCTGCATACACAGAAGTCAGAAAATTTGGGGTGGTCGGTTCTCTCCTTCCTCCATGTGGACGCTAGGGATCGAACTCAGTCATCAGGCTTGGTGGCAAGTGTCCTTTCCCACTGAGCCATCTCACCAGCACACAAGGGACATTTTTATAGGTTTGTATTGAGAAGCTGCATACAAGCCCCTTTGACAGGGTTTTAAACTATGTCCTTTGGATGTGGCTGGCAGGGACCAAGGGTTTTACACACACTAAGCAAATGCTTCCCCTGGGCAGCAGTTATCCCCAGCTCTGGGCCAAATATTTTTAGGAAAATATAGACTGCATACTTAATTTCTCCATAATCTCTTCATCTGTCATCTTGGCTTTCTTTTTCTGTTTGTCTGAAGACTTGGCACCACTGTCAACATTAGAATCACCAACTGGAGCAGGAATAGGGTCGATAACAGACCGTGTGTAAATCTGTAGAAATATAGTTCACTGTTGAGACTTGAGAAAAAAAACATTTTCAGATGGTCTTAGTAGCAGAAAATGCATTTTTTTTTTTTTAAAATAGCAAAACTAAGTTATCTTTCCTACAGTTTTGAAGAATGGGACAGTATATTCACACAACAAACACATAACTGCCAGGCATGGTGACGCATGTCTGTAAGCCTAGCACTCTGGAGGCAGATACAGGAAGTCAAAGGACAGACACTTTGAGCTACTGTAAGACCCTTTTACCTCCCCACAACAAGTAACCAGGAAAACAATGTTTAACTTTTTTTGGTCACAGCATGTATGTGTTTTGAAAGTATCTAGCAAAATAGGTCCATGAAATTCCAGTGTGGCTATATCTAAAGTACTGAGAACAATGTAATGAAAAGAAGCACACTTGTGGGGATAGAGAGATGGCTGAGTGATTAAGAGCACTAGTTACTTCTCCAAAGGACCCAGGTCCAATTCCCAGCACCCACATGGCTGCTCATAACCATCTGTAACTCAGTTCCAGAGGATATGATGCCCTTATCCGACCTCCATAGGCAACAGGTACAATGTAGTGCACAGATATATACCCAGGCAAAATATTCACACACATAAAATAAAAATAATAAATAAATAAAAAGCACACCTTAGTAACACACACCTTAGTAACAGAAAAGAATAAGTCTTGGTGTTGAAATAACTAGAACCACACCCTCTAGGTGAGTTACACAAACTCGACATTGATCATTTCCTCTCAGCCAGCCAGTCCTGGACTCATAAAGAAAACAGTCCTCTACCACTGCATCAGTCTCAGCTCTGTCTGCTGAGTGGAGTGGAGTCCCGGGCAGCACAGGCACCATACTGCATTCTACCTCATCACAGCAGGAAGGACAGTCCGGGAACGGGTTCTCACTGCTGGCACCACTAAGGCTCCTACTCTTAAAATTGCCGGGCGGTGGTGGCGCACGCCTTTAATCCCAGCACTCGGGAGGCAGAGGCAGGCGGATCTTTGTGAGTTCGAGGCCAGCCTGGTCTCCAAAGCGAGTTCCAGGAAAGGCGCAAAGCTACACAGAGAAACCCTGTCTCGAAAAACCAAAAAAAAAAAAAAAAAAAAAAAAAAAAAAAAATTCTCTTAGTCAGTAAGTAATTTCACTCCTAAATGCCTCTTGAATAAACATACAGTCTCTGAGAGCAAGGTCAAATATATAACCCAGGGAACAGCAATGATTTAGTTTTAGATATAATAGCTATCTATATTGAGAAAGCTAACAAAATAGATCTTTAGAACAGAGGGAAAAAAAAGGAAAACCCAGTGAGCTAAGTACTTTAACTTTTAAAGAAGCTGTTAATTGTCTTTTTTGTTTGCTTTTAGAAATGAGGTTCAGGGTCTTAGTATGTAGCTCTAGTTGGCCTGGAACTCACTAAAATGTGGCCTCCAGCTCCCAGAGATCCACCTATCATGCTGGGATTAGGATGGGCACCACCACGCCTACTCAAGACATTACTTTTCTAAGTAGTTTTTATTAGTTTTAATTTACTTATTGTGTGTATATGCACATGCATCATAATGTGCAGCAGGTGGTCAGAGGACAAGTAGTAGGAGCTACTTCTCCCTCTACCATTTGGGTCCTGGGGATTGAATGTACACTGTCAGGCTTGGTGGTAAACACCTTTATCTGCCGAGTCACTCCATCAGCTCCAAAAAGTACGTTTTGATAAATAACCAAGTTTCTCCACACTAATATATATATATTTTCGAGACAGGGTTTCTCTGTGTAGTTTTGGTGCCTGTCCTGGATCTCACTCTGTAGACCAGGCTGGCCTCGAACTCACAGAGATCCGCCTGGCTCTGCCTCCCGAATGCAGGGATTAAAGGCATGTGCCACCGTGGCCTGGCCCGTACTACAATATTTTAAGCTTGAGGGCCTTTAAGCATCTTGACTACGTTTTTAAAAACACACAGTGCAGGTCGTCAGTCAGTCACTCACTGATTTCGTATGATCTGGCCGAGGGGCAATGACAGGAGGAGCAGCGTCTTCATCATCATCGTCTTCCTCTGTCACTGCTGCTGATGTTTCTGATCCCTTGGTATTCAGCTGCACTCATCACAGGAGCAAAAAAGGAGGATAAGCCAAAAAAATTAAAAGGTTAAAATGTGACGCCCCTTTAAAAATATTTTTAAAAGTTTCTTTCTTTAACAGTTCATTTAAAAACACATGAATTTCACTGGATCTGATACAACCAATTACAAAGTAAATGAATACATACAGTCAGTATCATTTTTAGTGGGGAGGCGGCTCTGCTAAGGCTTGAACCCAAGGCCTGTGTATGGTGTAACTGCTCTACTACTGAGCTACATCCATGGCTCTCAAGTATACTGGAGTACTATTCCTGTCCTTTACATAAGCACACACAGTGCTCTGTAAGGAAGCAATCTACTCACAGGACAAAAGCAAAGGTCCTCGGATGCTGGAGACACAAACCTCACTTTGAGGCATTAAAGATCCAGGTTAATAAAGCAAGAAAAGGAGCGGGCATGTTTTAGCTACTTAGAAAGTGCCACAGTTTATCATACTCAGGATGGTAGTGATAGGAGGTTTGGGGAGAAGAGAGTAAGCCACCCAGTTCACCATATTCAAGTTCAATACTGCAACACTGGAGAAGTAGCTAAATTGCTCTGGAGGGCTTTATAAAGTTTAGTTGCTTTAAAGTGCCCACCCAAATCCTACTTACTTAATATGGCTTCTTTCCTTCAACTAATCAAGTAGCTAACTTAAAACAAAAACAAAAACTACACAGATATTTATCTGATGGCTAATGTTATGTCTTTTGAGACATGGTCCTTCAAACTCACAGTGAGTTCACCACCTTGGCTTCTTGAGTGATGAGGTTAGAGACATGGGTTATCACATCTAACTGTTTTATATTTTAGCAAGCAAAATAAAAAGGTTTGTTTTAGGTAACCTACATTAGAACATAAACTATAATAAATTATTAACTTACTGCTGGTGTTCCAGAAGGAAAGCCATCTTTCTCTAAATGTGAAACAGAAAAGATATTACCAATTTGAAAGAGAAAACTAGGATATGACCAGCAAAAAGCCCACCAAACAAACAAACAAACAACAAAACAAAACAAAAGGCAGAGAGGGTTTTGCTGTGTAGCTCTGGCTGGCCTGGTATTTGCTATATAGTCCCTGCTAGTCGTTCTTTCTTTCTCTCCCACCCCAAATGTAGATTTTATTTATTTTGTGTACACCAGTGTTTTGCCTTCATGCATCTGTGTGCATCACCTATGTCTGGTGCCCCAGAGGTCAGAAGAAGGCACTGGATTTCTTGGAACTGGAGTTAGGAATGGTCTGAGCCACTGTGTGGGTGCTGAGAACTGAACCTGGGTCTTCTAAGAACAACAAGTGCTCTTAATCCTGAGCCATTTTTCCAGTCCATTTTTTTGGGGGACGACGACGACAGGATCTTAGGGTGGTGTGGAGCTCAAAATGTAGACCAGAGTGGCCTTGAACTCACAGAGATCTGCCTATCTCTGCCACCCAGATGGAATTAAGGGTGTTTTTCAGCACACCCAGCTGAGTAGAAAAACACTTTTCATTTCAAAGCCTGCCATTTATTTATATAAAAACTTTCATTTTATCCCACTAACAATAACCATCTCCAGCACGAGCTTGTCTATAAATTCAGACCTTTTGTGCCTTCTATCACTGGCAGTCATTTAAAAGCACCAAAGAGGAAAAGATTGAAAAAACAGAGCCAAAACATGCCCTACTCCATTTCTGGCAAACGATGAGACCCCCGTCGTCACTCTCTGAAGGCAGATGTATGCAGGAGGAGGACAGCAGCTGGCCCCGTCTCTTCCTCCCTGCCGTCTTACCAGGCGGAGTGAAGCTCAGGTACTTCTGCTTCACAGTGTTCGAGTCGTAGAACTTCAGGACGTCCAGCACAGCCTGAGGGTTCTTCTTCTGCTCTAGTTTGGTGATGTTGGAGGTCTGCAGCAGCCTCGCCCACTGTTCTGGCATGCCCTAGCAAGAAGTAATCCATAGGTCAGTTATGATGTGAACTGCTCTAACAAAGAACATTTTCATAGACCAAGGACAACCAACCAATACACACACATTTTAGGCTTCGCTAAAAAAAGTTTCTAAAAAATGTATTATTCTTTTTTTGGATTTATGTATGAATGTTTTGCCCACATATATGTCTGTCTATACAGCACATGTCATGGATGGTTGTGAACTGAGATGTGAGTGTAGGAATTGGACCCAGGTCCTCTGCAAGAACAAGTACTCTTAACTACTAAGCAGTTCTACAGCCCCTATTTAGTTTTTAAACAAAGTTTTAACTATACAGCTCAGCCTGGCCTGGAATTCACAATACTTCCCTTAGGTGCTTTGGTATTGGAATTACAGATATATAGTTTTTTTGAGATAAGATTTCTCCATGTAGCTCTCTCTGGCTGTCCTGGAACTCACTCTGTACACTAGGCTGGCCTCCAATTCAGAGATAGGCCTGCCTCTGCCTCCTAAGTGCTGGGATTAAAGGTATACACCACCACATCCTGCCAAAAGTATAGTTTTGTTTTTTTTTTAAAGGACTATGTGGTCAAAAAACAGACTCTAGTGTAGTCCTCAGGTGGCTCCCCATTTTTGTTTGAGATAGGGTCTTCCACTGACCTAGAATGTTACAAGTAGGCTGGGAGTGCAGGATCACAGCATAACATCTGGCTTTTGAGTTTTAGGGACCTGAACTCAGGTCATCTGAGTCAATTGAGCCATTACTCAGCCCTAAAAGTCCATTCCTCTGTATCTGTTTTTTTTGTAACTATAATTGATAGTTTTAGCTCTCTAGAGAAAAAAGTCATCCAACTACTAATTTATTTAAAGGTTTTTTTTTTTTTTGAGACAGGGTTTCTCCATGTAGTTTTGGTACCTGTCCTGGATCTCACTCTGTAGACCAAGCTGGCCTCAAACTCACAGAGATCCACTAGGCTTTGCCTCCTGAGTGCTGGGATTAAAGGCGTGCACCACCACCACACAGCTAACAGTTATTTTATGTATATGAATGTTTTGCCTACATTTATGTAGTTCTGAGCCACCTCTCCAGCCCCAATTACTAATATTTTTAGGACAAACATAAAACAGTAAGAACTGACAACTAATGCTAGTTATAATAGTCAGCATGTAACCCCACACTCTTAGGAGGATTCAGAGTTCCAGGTTCTACTGGGATCATAGCAAGAATTTGCTTTAAACAAACAATAACAAAGGAAAAAAAACTAATCATCACATGGGATAGAAAAGCTCAACACCAGTCATGTTAGCCCATAGCTATCACCCCAGCACATGGAAGGCAGAAACAGGAGGACTGAGTTCAAGACCAGTCTCAAAAACAAAACGAGTTCACAGGAGGCCAGCCTGGGCTACATAAAAATCCTGTCTCAAAAAACAGGAGAGAAAAACTGATTTCAAACTTTACTAAAGATGCTTGAGTACCCTTTTCAGTTTCTTGAGTGTGTACACATCTGCAGGGGTCACAGGGTCATCTCAGACATCACTGTCTTCCACCTGGAGACAAGGTCTCTTGTTTTTACGACTTATATACCACGCTAGCTGCCCTGTGAGCCTTCAGATTCTCTAGTCTCCCATCATACTGTAGGAGTACTACAATTACTTCTGTATTGTGTTGTGTGCATTCTGGGGATTTAAACTTGGGTCCTCACACTTGTACAGTAAGTGCTTCTCTTCACTGAACAATCCCTGCAACCCTTCAGCACTGTTTTACTGTCAAAAACAAACCTCACTTAGGTAAACTTACAGTGAACTCGCCAGTAACAGCGTCAAAGCCAACATGGATGGTGTGTTCAAAATCAGATGGAGGAGAAATCTCTGGCCGTTCTTTTTCTTTCTTTTTACTTCCTAGAGGGCATGGGGGTAGGGAGAGAAAATAATCTCTTTAAACAGAGCTAATTACGGCATTTGTTATTGTGTTTGTATTTTTCCTGAAACTGGTGAGGAATGAAGTTATTGCAGAAGAATCTTCCACTGGGAACAATAGCTGATAGGAAACTGGCGCGCGCACGCACACACACACACACACACACACAGTCTGCACCCTGCTGGAGGTGCCTCCACAGACACATTTATAGAGGCCACTTGAGCAAGCTGAAGTTCTCCTTCTCTCCCTCCTCCTCCTCCAACTTGCTTTTCTGAGACAGGGCCTTATTCTCCAGTGTACACTGGCCTCAAATTCACGATAATTCTTCTGTATCAACCTATAGATATTAAGGTTGAACGCATGAGCCACCACACATGGCTTACACTTTCCTTTTATAGTTTATATATAACTATTTATAGTTAGTAAATGTAACATCTTTATATTATCCAACTTTCCTATGGTTCCACTGCAAAAATTTTTTTTTCAACACTCTTGCTACATCACTGTAACATCCTTTGCAAATTCAAACACACCAATGCCTTCTCCCCACCAGTCCTCCTCCTCTAACCTGTAGCTCCTAAACCTGTGGGTCTATTTCTGGATGCTCTGCTCTCTTCAAATCATGTCTATCATTATGCCAACCCTGGTACCTTGATTACTGTCATCTTTATACAAACACTGAAAGTACAGTCTAAGTCCTTTTTTTTTTTTTTTTTTTTTTTTTACTTTTTTCAAATCTGCTGGGATTATTTCAGGTTCTCTACATTACTCTAAGAAATGAAGAATATTTTAAATTTCTACAAAGAGCCTTCTAGGGCTGTGACAGGAACTGTATTTAATCTATAAATCTATTTAGAGTTTATTGACACCTTGCCTTCTGATCCTTGACCAACAGCAAATCTCAATAAATTAGGTCTTTAATTTCTCTCAGCAATGTTTGCTGGTATAGGGAGACAGAATACAGATTCTGCCACTACTTTATCATACTTCCGCACAGGAAGACTTATTAATTTTTGATGCTACTAAAAATGATAGTTTTGGGGTTTGGGATGCAGCTCAGAGGTTGCTTGTGCTCATCTAGCATGCTTGCAGTTTTGGGTCAGCCCCACCAGGAAATACAAAATAAAACTCATTCTTCAGGACTGATCTTTTCTACTTACTTTTAACCCCGCCCCTGGGGTTTCTTTGTGAAAGTCCTGGCTGTCCTGGAACTCACTCTGTAGACCAGGCTGGCCTCGAATTCACAGAGATCCCCCTGCCACTGCATCCCTAGTGCTAGGATTTAAGGTGTGCACCACCACCACCCGGCTATTTTTAAAATTTTTGAGGCATCACAGAATTTTCTATAAAGTAATGTTCTGTGGTAAACTAAGGAAAGGCTTGCATGTCCTAATTTGGATAATTTTATTTTATTTTTTCCTTCCATTTCTTTAAGAGAATTTTTTATTTTCTCTTTAAGGGAGTTTTTCTTTTCCTCTTTAAGGGCCTCTATCATCTTCTTAAAGTCATTTTTAGGATTGATTTCTTCTGCTTCTTCTGCCTTGGTATGTTCAGGTCTTGCAGGTGTAGAATCGCTAGGTTCTGATGTTGTCATATAGGTCTTTATGTTGTTGCCTGTATTTTTGCACTGGCATCTACTCATCTCTTCCTCTGCTCGGAGTAGGCAGTGTCTGTGTCTGAAGGTGCCTCTCTTGTTCTAATTGTTAGTCTTGGTCCACTAGGAATTCTTGGTTAAATCGGTGCTGTTAGGTTCTGTTTCTCCCAGAGCAGCTTAGTCCAATCAGTGTTAGTGGTTCTGTCTCAGGGAGCAGTTGTTCCCAACTGGTGCAGGTGGGCTTATGGCTCCAGTGGTTGTTAGGTTCGTAGGGGTTTTTTTTTTTTTTTTTTTTGATGGGGGAGCAGGGAAAGGTAGCTGTCTGGTCCCTGGGACTCCGATGGGTAGGGCCTAGGGGCTAGAGACCTGATCTGCCAGTCTGAAGATGGAGGCTTACCTGTTCCCAGTTGGTGTAGGGTAGGCTTATGATTCTGGTGATCTGGTTCAGTGGCTGGGCGGCACCTTCTTTTGTGTTCTCAGGTCACGTTTTGCTCATTCATCATCTCCTCAGCTGATCTTGTTTCCTCAGACTGTAGATTGTAGGCTTCTGAAACCTCTCCCGAATGGATCTCAGCTGAGCAAGTTGTTCAGTACAGCAATCTCACCCAACACCTCCAAGTTGTTGGGTTTTGAAAGATCAGCAGCTGGGCCCTGGGTTGGCCTCAGGCAGAATGTTCGGATCTGTTCTGGTTGCGTCCCACTGAGATGGCTCCTTCCCCGGGTGCTGGGATTAAAGGTGTCCCTGTTCCAAGCTCTTAATCTCCATGTTTTCACTAACTCCTCAGCGGGTAAAAGCTCAGTTTCTGTTCTTTATTATGATTGTGTCTCTGCCTGGCTCTGCTGCCACTCTGGCTATTTTTTTTTTTTATTTTACTTGCTTAACCTTATTGAACTGGCTAGTCCCTACTCTACAACATGGTTCAATAAAGGTGGTAATAGGAACTTTTGTGTTTTACTGATCCAGGGAGTGAAAACAGTCACTGTTTTTTAGTTTAATATCAACAGTCAATGTTTCTAACACGCCCTTATCAAATTTAGTACATTTTCTTCAAATTCAAGTTTGCTCAACACTTACATCAGAAATGAATATTGGATTATGTCAAATGTCTTTTCTGCATCTACTTAAATGATCATATGGCTTATCCTAAGTTACACCAATTTTCAAATGTTTAGGCTTGCAGTCCTGGGATCTATTGCCTTTTTTTTTTTTTTGGTTTTTTTTTTGGTTTTTTTTCCGAGACAGGGTTTCTCTGTGTAGCTTTGCGCCTTTCATGGAACTCACTTGGTAGCCCAGGCTGGCCTCGAACTCACAGAGATCCGCCTGGCTCTGCCTCCCGAGTGCTGGGATTAAAGGCGTGTGCCACCACCGCCCGGCTTATTGCCTTTTTATACACTGTTGGATTACCACTGTTAAGACTTTGCCAAGACTGTCTATGTTCAAGAAATGTATAGCTCTTTCTCTTTTTTGGTTTTTTGAGACAGGGCTTCTCTGTGTTGCTTTGGAGCCTTTTCTGGAACTCACTCTGTAGACCAGGCTGGCCTCAAACTCAGAGATCTGCCTGCCTCTGCCTCCCGAGTACTGGGATTAAAGGCATGTGCCACCACTGCTCGGCTAATCTTTTTTTTTTTTTTTTTTTTTTTTTTTAAAGTAAGCTTTGGAAATCTGTATCTTAAGGAAAGAAATTTCAGTGGGGTGGTAGTGGTGCACGCCTTTAATCTCAGCAAGTGGGAGGCAGAGGCAGGTGGATCTCTGTGAGTTCTAGGCCAGCCTGGTCTACAGACTCCAGAAAGAGTTCCAGAACAGCCAGGACTACACAGAGAAACTTTGTCAGTATATACCTGTACACAACATTACCTCTGTCTTCTCAGTGGAGAATGAACCTGGAACTCAAGCATTCTACCCTGACTTTTACCCCCAACCCCAGCAAACCTTTGAATCTAACCTAACATGCAAGTTCATACAAAAACGAAGTGGATTTCCTAGAGGATGTAGTTTTGGCTGCTTTACTGATCGTTTTTTGCAATCGTTTGAATCAAGTTTTATTATTCTCTTCCATCTCCTGTGTTACGTTTACCTGTTTAAATTGTACAATCCAATGACTTTTAGTATATTCAGAATCCCATAAACATTATCACCATGTAACTAGCATAGTTTCATCATCCCCTAAAGAAACCTTGTATCCATTAGTAATTACTCCTTATTCTACTCCTGCTTTACTGTAACCCTTCATCAAATAATAATCTTCTCAGTATTGTATTTATTTTTATGTGTATGTGTGCAGGTACCCTCAAGGCCAAAAGAAGACATTAGAGTTACAGGTAGATGTGATGCTGGTAACCAAACCTAGGTCCTCTGCAAGAACAGCAGTGTCCGCCGGGCGGTGGTGGCGCACGCCTTTAATCCCAGCACTCGGGAGGCAGAGCCAGGCGGATCGCTGTGAGTTCGAGGCCAGCCTGGGCTACCAAGTGAGTTCCAGGAAAGGCGCAAAGCTACACAGAGAAACCCTGTCTCGAAAAACCAAAAAAAAAAAAAAAAAAAAAGAACAGCAGTGTCCAGTGCTCTCAACTGCCGACTCATCTCTTCAGCCTTCCTTAGTGTGAACTAGTGTTTTACACACACAGGCTAAGTGCACCACCTATGTGAAGTGTCCACGGGGTCAGAAAATAGTACTGGATCCCTAGAACTGGAGTTTCAGATGGTTGGGAACCATCCTGTGGGTAGGAACCAAAAAGAACCAATCCCAGGTCTTCGCAGGAGGAGCAAGTGCTCTTAAACATTAAGCCACCTCTCCAGCCCCTGGGTCTTTTTTCTCATTATTTCTTTATTTCCTGAATTCTATTTAATTTGTCCATTATTGCAACATTGTAATTGTTTTCGTTTACATTTCCTATCTGAGTTTTTTTTTTTAAACTCTGGGAGAATGTTCTTGATTATCCTTTCACCCTTCCATTGATATCACATTTATTCTGTTAATTTTAAACAGTGATTTTCCAAGAATTATTTCTCATCATTCTTTGATCATTTTTTTCCCTCTGAAAATCAGCATTTTTTTTCCTCTGAAAATTCTTTTATTTCATGAATTTGTCTTTCCTCAAAGATTATGTTGTACATACATGTTTGCTGGCAGATGGATTTTCTGCTTTGTTGATTTTCTCCTGAAGTGGAATGCTTCTTCTAAATTTGTTTAATAAAATTACCTGATTCCTGGAGGCAGGGTCTTGCTATCTGGCTACGGCTAGCCTTGATTTCACTTAGTTATCCAGGTAGGCCTCATAGGCATGTGCCATCTGGTACTTCCCATTGTTCTGGGCTCTAATATCTAAGTGTTTTCTTCAGATGTCTGGTGTTCATTCTTACAGAAAAACATTACACAACTAACTGAGAGA